TGCAATTTCGAGTAGGCGATCTGGACTTGCCAGAACGGAGGAAGAGGTACAGCAGCCGTAGGAGAGAGGAAGAGGAGGATAGACAGACATGTCCATGTGGCAAATCGGAGGAGAGTAGACCCCACATAGTTGGGGAGTGTGAGCTGTACAGGAAGGAAAGAGAGGATCTCGAGGAGGACATGAGACAGAGAGGGTGTGACATGGACAAGTTTGGTAAATTAGACAACAGCGAAAAAACGATCGCGGTAATTGGGGATAGATGGTGGGCACAAGAGGCCGTAGAGGACGGGGATAAGATGTGCAAGAAATTTTTATGTAGTTTGTGGCAGAAACGTAAAGAGCTCCCAAATGTTGGTGGTGTCTCTAGTAGGGGTAGGAACGGTGCTCCGTCTCGAAAGGGACGCGTGGTCAATGGTCAAATGACTACGGCAAGCAACAAATGAGTACCCCCCCCCCCCCCCGTACCCTACCCTTCGTCGAAACCAACCAACCTGTCAACGGTGTTATTGTCGCATCTGTCTGTCATCACGTGCACCTACCTCTCGTCTTGTCGCACGCTCTGCAGCCTGGCCTCCGTGATGGAGCAGAGGCTTTGCAGGAAGTGGTACCGGCTCTCCTCGGACAGAGCGTCTTCCTGGCTGGTGTTGCATTCGTGCTCCAGCTGCTGCCGCTCCACCTCGAGGCCCACGGCCACCTGGCATTGCAAAAGTAGGCGTGATGCTCACCAGATAATGCTGCGAGTGCTTGTTTTCGGGGGATGGCGAGGATGTGCTTGTTCTTGTGACGAGGGTAAACATCGCCACACCCAGCTAGCAACACACTTCACCAACCAACGAAACCATCCCTGCCGCAGTGCTTCCCCAACCACAACAAAACGCCCCCGTCGCGCTGTCAGCACCGCCATGAACAGCAACATCCCCCCCGGTCTGCAAAAATGTTCAACCTCCAACGCTGATTGTGGACACGGGCGTTCTCGCGAAAGGGCCCATGGCTGTGAAACCTGGACCATGTACCCTTTTTGGATGCTGTGGTGCCTTTCTTTGACGAGAACACACAGAAAGAAGAACTTCATTTGACAAGTCCCCTGCTGTCTATGGATCGCTGCTGCTTGTCACTGTTGACTATAAACGCCCTTAATACGGAAGGGTAATTATCTACAGTGTCCACCTTCTCGTCATCTAGTCCACCTTTTCGTATGCCCCTCGCTTTTCTTGGTACTCCGACTCGATCTCCATGCACTGCTTGCGGACGGTCTTGAGCTCCTCGATCAGCGGGCGCAAGCTAACCCGACAAGGAACAGGAGAGTTTCCCCCCGGCGTAGACGAGTACACGCAACGTCGCAGACGGAGAGAAACACGTGGCGCAGCGAGAGAGAGAGAGGGGGGGGGGGGGG